TTTTTTTTTTTTTTTTTTTGATTGCATTGAATGAGCACTTAAACATCTGAATAAATTTGATCAGCTTTTTACAGTGTTCACAGTAAACATTTTCGAAGAAATACCAACAGTTGCAATCATTTGTCAGAATTTTTGTAAAAAATGGTAACCACATCTAATTTTCAACACTAAAATAGATTATAAAATATAAGTGACTGACCAGCACGCCTTCTAGCAGCTCTCAACGATCGCACGTAATAAAGTACATGAACCAAATATGCCAAGAAGTTGGTGAAGCATAAAAACTGCAACAATTTATTTGTTCACTCAATTTTTTTTTTTTTTTTTTTGTGCTCCTTAAACTGATTATTCGTCTTTTTTAATTCTCCCATTCTTTTCGTTGAACAACACATTAAATGTCTACTCAATTTTTCATCAATTTTAGATGCAAAAAAGCTAATAACATTGACAATCTGTCGTCGATCAATTTACAAGTTTGACTAGTGAATTTGACGGCTGAAAAACTAAAGAAATTCTACAATAATGGCTCTCAGCAGTACCTAACACAGAGTACTGTGTACGTCAAAACTGACAATACAGAACATTATTTTCCAGACATTTATTTCTGAAAATCTTTTCGTTAACATTTTCCTCAAAATTCAACTTAACTTTTACCTCCCTTCTTCTGCTCTTAGAGTAATTCGTTGAGAGTGCTACTGAATAAAAAAACTTTCCATAGCAAATTTGTCTAAGAAAACCATTTGATACGTGCGACGAACTGATGTGCAGATGTGTTTGTGTCGCACTAAACTAACACAACTGATTCATAGATAAAGTCGTTGCGTCAAATAAACGTTACAACAAAAACTTACAAAACAGGATTTGAAACCTTTAGGTTCATTGGTACACCGTGTAGCAAATAAACAAAAAATCGACGACGATAGGAAAAGCATCATACACACCAAAGCATAAACTACTTCCTGAATTGAATTTCGTATAATGGAAAATTTTTGATAAATAACACCGTTGAAACTCTAATGAATGGTTTTAAAAAAACTGAATGCACCAAACAACAGTGTTCAAAAGCATTCTTTTCACAAACTGTTTTTTAAGTCTGAAAGCGACCGATAAAAAATACATTTTTTCAAAACTCTACAGTCTAAGAATTATTGACGGTAATGTATTGTTCTTTCTTCATTGATTCATTGCTAATACTATCACCAAAAATTGCAGTCCCCAACAAAATCAATAATTCATGAAAAAGATCAGCTAAATAAAATTGGGAATTTTTCATACTGCTAACTTAATGCTTGAAAGATCATCAAAAAAAATATTTATCACTTACAATTACAGTCCATAAGTAGTCAAAACGATCAAAGATTGTACTATCGGTCAGCACTAACGCAGCTATAATAATTATAAACGCAAAACCGGCAATAGTGGAAAATATTGTAGTCATCCAGATAAATCCTGTACCGAATGAGCTCTGTTCTATAGTTCCGAGTGTTATCATCACCCATAATGTTAGTACCTAACCAATTCAGCCAGTCAAAATTCCCAAGTAGTCAAAAAGAAACTAATACTAACATATCCAAAGTTTCAAATTACAGCTCATCCAGAGTACTGCGCCAGAAGATTATTATTGAGAAGATTAAAGCAAGTAAACAACTGAAGAATTTCGAGATAAGCTTACAAGTTCTAATATCTTTAAACAATCAGGCAAAACGCAGAATCGAATCAACGCCGATATTTTACAGCGATCGCCCATTTTGGTTAAATAACGCGATACCAAAGCTTCCCAAATCGCTATAAAGATACCTAAACATACCATTAAAAATCAAAAACCTGGCAGAAACTTGCAGCTAGACGGGTTATCAGCGCATTATTAGAATTTTAGACAACCTAACTTTTGAAATTGTTAGTATCAAGACGAGGATAAAAAAAGCAAAATTGGTTAGGCAAAAATCATTAAATTTTTAAAATCCTTTCTCATAACCGTACCAGTTTATTTCTCTTCGTCATCTACAAAAAGTATCAATCCGCTGCTAGTAAACGATAATTTAAATAATCTTTAGAAATGATAAAGATTATAAAGCCGTAAAAAATTTAACAATTAAAGAAAGCAGTATGATGTATCCGCTGGCTGAACATTTCATTATTCAACCAACAACTGAAAATGACATGTAATGCAAAACAAACAGGTATGCTAGTTTCTCTATTGCTTTCTTTTCTTCTTAGCAGTGAAAATTAGATGTTGATTAGAACTTCCAAGGTTAATCTTCATGAATCCTCAAAAACGATAAATACATATGCTATTATTATTGCAGCAAATTTAGCAGTACAACAAACTGCCTGCAGTCTTTATTGAAGCCAGCAAAGTGAAACAACTAGACCAAAAAAAAGAGGAAAAAAGTAGCCAAGAATTGGAATCTGTTGCTAAGGGAATATCATTCAGAAAACTGCTTAAATATTTATATAGTTTTTCGGCCGGTTACCACCGTTATCACCCTCTTCCCGTGGTTCATATTTTTCTAATAGCACTGTTCGTTGTTGCACAACAATCAATATGTTTTATGTAGCTCTGTGTATTTTTGCCTGTCTATTTGTGCTTTGCTTTACTTCACCAACAACTACGACGGTATCAAAGTTGCAAAACTGCAATTATGATATTGATACTGCTGATGCTTCAAATTACGAACATCATGTTCCTGAACATTCAATTCAACCATTTGTCCATCCAATAGTGCAAACCAACACACACCTTTTCA